GTAACACACGGGTTTTCTCAAAATACATCAAAACATCATATACAGCGGAACTCAAAATATAACTCAATGTTTTCCTCATAAGGGAACATCAGTAAAATAACCCAATGATATACAATCAACTCAAAGAACTCAACCCGATGTTACATATCAGAGCAAGACCCTCTAAATTAACCATAAAGGCTAACGACTCTAAAACTTCAAAATACTCCTCGACGGCGTCCACGGCTAAACTTGCTCATCTGCACGTTACCCACGTGGAGGTAACATTCAAACAGGCAGGGTGAGTAAAATAATTCATAATAATCAATGTATGACAATTAGTGCATAAATGGCATTTTACTCATAATTATTATTATACACAATCACATTACTCAATTATTCAACACATTGATATCCTTATTCAACACAATCATATTACTCATATTCAACACATTGATATCCTTAAAGTGCCTCAAAGGCCACAACATCATAATTCATACAAAAGACTTCTCAATGCAATGCGACACAACTCAATGCATGTGGTACCAATCATCACAGCTCGATGGACACTGGCCATCAACCCTCCATAGATCCCCATCAATAGGATTGGAGCACATCTCAATACTTCACATCCACACAATGGGGTTGAAGCCACAATACTCAAAGCCCAGAACCGAAGTCCGGATGCACATGAATGCATGATGCACACGTCACAATAAGAATCCTCACAATAACATCACAGGTGCATCATCATTCGTCATGTTCATCATCGTCACACAAAACATCACGGTCCATGTCATCACATGGTTCATCACAGTAATCATCATCATCACATAAACGTCACAACATCATGTTATCACATAGTTCATCAAAGTAATCATCATAATACATCATCTCATCATAGCTCATAATAATAATCATCATTATTCGTCACGTCATCACAGCACATCATAATAATCCTCATCACACATTGTTTCATCATATAATTCATCAAACTAATCATTATCGCACACAATGTTATCACATCTCATCATAGTAATCATCATCGTACAACATATCCTCATATCTTATCATCATAATCATCATACATCATATTATCATAATTCCTCATATTAATCATCATACGTCATATTATCATAATATTAATTCATAATATTATCTCACATTCTCTCATATCATTTCATCAAATCATACTCACGGTAACCCTCATACTATTGCCTATTAATCACACAACCTCACCGTCATACTCATGTTATCATATAGCTCGTCAATTCATAGTAATTTCATCAAGTTAATTCAATCAATACATCGTAGAAATCATATTAACATCATTTACATCTCACGCAAAACCCATCGTCATAATCACAGCAACCCATCACAGAAATCACAGAATCAAAACATCAAAACATCGTTGAACCAGAACATGATTCGTTACTAAAACATATATACAATTGACTTCTCAAACATAATTAGATATAAAAATATTGGGAAAACAATTCCATTATCTATCCTATGTTATAGCTCTGTTCATTAGATTTCCAACGCTTCGAACAGGGGTCAAAACAGACTTACGGATCCAAAGTTACGTCTAAAACAATTTCGACCGAAAACATGAACAGTCGTGACGGACAGAAAGACGTTGTTACGCTCCGGAATTGATTTTTACTCAATTATTCTTACGAATCACTCACTCAACGTACCCAAAACATCACTAAAACATTCCTAAGGTTATACGGCAATAACAACACAACTTCTATGGTTTATTAGACTCATCTGGCAACATTTGCAACGCCTAAAACACTATTTCCTGCAATTGCACTCCGAGTACTTCAGAGTTACTCACATTTGAATATTCTTATTCCTATAGGGACAACATGTCACAATTTTTCTTTCAATTACACCCTACGACATTAAAATTACTTACTATCCAATATTTAATCCCTTCAGGGTCAGACATATAACAATGTCAAGCTTTTGGCCACGAAGGCCTAAGGTTTCCCATAAGGTTTCCCACAATTACATATCAGACAGTCAGAAATATTGACCACTAATCCTACGGGTTTTGCCATAAAGGCCTAAGGTTTTCCACAAATTTTATGTTAATATTCAACGATACATACCATTTGGCCATTTGGCCATCCTCTCAGAATCTTACGATTACTTCCCTATTTCCCACAATTAATTCCAAATCCCTAAACCTTACATCAACCACAAATATACCGAAAATCATACATAGAAAACTATGAAAAGCAATACTCCCCATACCTTAGCCGATTCACAGCCTTCACGATTACTCCAGGAATCTTCTGAAACTTTTGCCCTCAGAGCTTTGGCCTCCATTCTTTTCACGGTTAACAAATGAATCCCAATTCCCTTTAGAATTCTATTTTGTTAAATCTCACAATTTGGGTTTTTCCCATAATATCCTCACTAACTCCTCCAATCGCTCAAATTGCTCTTATTTCCCTTATTTCAATTTAATTAATAATAATACTAATAAATTAATATTATATGCTATTAATTAAATAAATATCCAAAAATGCACATTTTCTTAATAATTCACCAACCACCCGAAAATCACCGAAAACGAATATTCTTAATTAAATAATTAATTAAAATACTCCAATTAAATTTGGGGTGTTACACAGGGTGTCTGCTCTGATGCCAATTGAAATTCTGACAAGCGCACAATGGATTTTATCACAAATGTTATGACATCCAATGTAACATCGGCTACTGGACTTACTAATAAGCAGTAAATAACACAAATAATTGTTCACCCAGTTCAGTGTCAACCACACCTACATCTGGGGGCTACCAAGGCAGGGAGGAAATTCACTATCAGTAGAATTAATTCAGAGTCAAACAACTCGTTTTCACTCTTCACTTAAGACCTACCCAATGACACTTCAGCCTAAACACCACTAGACCAGAGTTTCCCACTCACTCCCCCTCAATCACCGCAGTGATAATCAATTCACAATTACAATATGAAGACACTCTTCAAGCACACTTTGATCTTGCTTCACAGCTTTGATCAAGAGACACACACTCTTACTTAACAGCTTTGAGTGACACAATGAACACACTTGTTCATACACAATAACCAAAATAATTATACAGCATACAATTGCTTGGCACACAAGGAATCCTAAGACTCCTAGACACACGTGAAGAGCAAACCTCTTCACTCACAAATCACATTCTTCAATCTCTGCCTTCAAGCTCTACACTATTTGGAGTGATCCTTCTGCTATTTATAGCAGCAGACTTGCTTTGGACCTTGATGGAGAAATTAGGTTTACCTAAGATAAACATCTCTTCATGAAACTGCGCACTTATCATTAGGTCATGAGTCTTCTATGTTATCCTCAGCAATGCCTGTTATGTCGCCTAAAATAATTATGCTTCCTGGATTGTTTCCTGAAGTATAGCCTGAGCTAATAACAGAAAAACAAACCATGCGCGTCTTAATGTCATACGCTTGATGTCATAACATCCAGCCATGACATTCAGTTTCACTTACTATTAGCTCTCCCTGCAGAACACTCTTCATGTATGTCATAACATCAGTTGTGACATTCATTCATACAACAATGTTTTGCCATAAAATGCAGTCAATCAAGAGTATCTACAAATAGCTTTGTCTGGTAGAAAACATTCTGTGATGTATCAATCTGCAAGGGCTGCGGTAGAAACAAGCGCACAGTCTGATATTTTGACTCCATGATGCAATTCAAATTGCCCGTGCAACCCTCGGAGAATGGATATTGTATCTTCAACAGATAGTTGACAGCAATATACTTGTTGAAATCTGCGCTCAAGTGTAGGATCCTTCTCAATGTATTTTCTATATTCATTCAATGTAGTTGCTCCTATATATCAAAGTTCCCCCCCCTTCCAAGCATTGGCTTCAACAGTAGCTCCTGCACCAACAACAGTGTGTATTTCATCAATAAACAAAATTATTTGCCCATTTGATACTGTAACTTCCTTCAGGACATCTTTCAACCTTTCTTCGAAATCTCCATGAAACTTGGCACCAGCAAGCAATGAACCCATATCAAGGGAGATCAACTTCCTGTTCATCAATGGCTCTGGAACATCTCCACGCACTATACGTTGTGCTAATACTTCAGCAATTGCAGTTTTCCCCACACCAGATTCACCAATAATAACTGGATTGTTCTTTGTTCTCTTGACAATATCTGGATACAGCGCCGATGGCCTAGCAAGTTTAGTCAGGTCGTTTCCATACTTGTCCAATGCTTCATATTTCCCCTCAGGATTTTAATCAGTTACCCTTTGACTTCCGCAAATAGCCTGTACAGCATCCTTCAAAGTCTTCTTACTAAGCTGAAGATTTTAAAATAACTGCTGCCCAAACCTCTTATCCGAATCAAATGCTAGCAAAAAGTGTTTCAGACACATATTCATCACCCATTTCTTTCTTGTGCCTTTGAGATTTGTCCAAAATGGAGCTCAGATGCAAACCAGCAATAGGACCAGAAGTGCCACCCATCACTCATGTTTGAAAAAAAAAACACTATTCTGTCCACTGATTAAATTATCCTCAAACTCTTGTTTAGTAGAATCTATATACCAGTAATTGTTGTTTTTTGGGTCAAATGTTTGTTCTCTGAGTTGTATACAATCCGTTTTGTAAGCAAGTTAACTCAAATTTTTATTAGAGTTTGATCACTATGAGATGCAAATTAATATTATTAATTAGTAAGACATTGATCAACAATGAGAAGAATCACAAAAATATAATAGATGATTCATACATAGCTCTAAGATTCAAATAACATTAGAACCAAAATAATAGTTTTAACACAGGATATATTAAGAAATTAAACATAAGGGATATATTAATAAGTTAAACAATAATTGTAATACAACAGAGACATCGGTTTTATTTCTTACTCTATCTATCATGGCCTTAAAAAATAATGGTGCCCCAAAATTGCAACAAGGAGAAGAAACCAAAGGTTAGAGCCAAAGTCATTCCATAGAGTCAGTCACCTATTGAAATCCTTAATATAAGTGGCATGTCTCTCCGAAAGAAGTTTAATCAGGGGATTCTCTACATCAGACTCACTATTCTCTCGCAGAACAGTAATCTTATCAGTTCTAGTGATGACCGTCACTTGCTCCTTGCGTGTTGAGAGTTCATTTGCAACAACTGCATGCATCTTGTACTTTTCGAGAGCTGCATTACCCTTATTTAGAAGAATGCTTGAATCTGTCTCTAACTGTCAGCCAAAGAGGAAAAAAATAAAAAATTATTATCACTATTAGTTTATTCTTATAAAACTGTGAAAAGGGTACTTGATGAATATCAAAAGGCAAACCCCTAACTCTCGAATTTCAGTATGTTAATAAGTGCATTCAAGGTTTATCAAAATGGTAAAGGTCCATATAGAATTCTAAAAACAAAAAGAAATTGGTTTTTGCTTATTAGTTTATCAACAAATACCATTAATACCTTGAAAGATGTGCAGAAAGCCAGAGGAGCCCAGTTTTCCCTAAGCACTGACAACATTTTCGGCACTTGAACAAGTTTAACGTCCAAGAGGTGAGATCCTGACTGAATTTTGTGCTCCACCTGCAAGATTAACATGAAACAAGAAAGTAGAAGCAATTCTTAAAAGCTATTGCACTAGAAATAGAAGCAAGACTTGTAAGCTTATGTGACATTTTCTGTAGTTACACTAGAAACTAAGGCCAAGTTTTCGAAACACAAATTCCATTTTAGATACAAGTGATTCTGAAATATTCTTCAAATGATAAATCTGTGGTTTCTTAACCAATTACACAATCATTTTACCAAGATTGAAGTCATACTATTGGCATCAAAGCCTTCATGGAATTAAGAACTAACATATCACATTTATTATACCATATCCTTCCAAGGAACATAATAGTCAGATACTGCAGCAGCAAGATAAAACATTGCACGTGGACCAATACACCTCATTGACACTGCAATTATCTGCAACATCTGCAAAACAGAGGGCAGTTAGCAGTGACGAATCCATGCAGAACAGCATACTAGTTGAATTCTAAACACCAACAATTAAACTTTACAATAAAACAAGGAGGTCTACATTGCAATATGACTAACAGATGAAATAAAAACCACAATAGTTTAATCCACCTCATGGTTGATGTAGTAACCATATAGGAGATTCAAATGTTCTTATCGGTAGCATCAAACAAGACTTACAATTTACAAACATAGACTAAGCTAACCTGGAGATACTCAAATATGGTGCCGAAAGGAAGTTTTAACAGGTGGCCGCCAGCCACTGCCTGCAGCAGAACGAAAACATCAATGGACTGTAATTAGTTACATTTCAATAAGCTAAAGCCAATGTACAATTATAAAAAAGAGACAAAATGGAATTTCATAAGCAAAAAAAAAGATGAATATGTAAAGCACAAAATCCAATATATTGATCATACAGTATGATGATCCACAATGGCCCTCTTCACTGTTTCAGAATAAGCACTCCGAACTGAAATAAAAAAACATTATTTAGCACAAAAAGAGTTGATTTTATAAAATAATAATACAAAAAACAAAATGAAGTTAGCATATTAATTAATTACAAAATATTCGAAGATGTAGAAATCTTTGAGTAAGCTTCGTCTGAGGAGTAGGAAAAAAATATTTTTTGTTTGAAGAAATCATATAGGCACACTTTGGTTCGCCTTGGATGAACCATGATGAAGAGTAAGACTCATCTAGAATAATATTTGTTCACGAGACACTTAATATCATCATACCATACAACATTAATAGCATATTAACACACATTGTTAAATATTTAAGTCTATCAAGATATCATCAAGCGCAATATTTGCACAAATATGACCTCTAAAGTGAAAAACTGTTCATGTGATTATAGGCACCAGTTATCTTTTTATGGCATGAGAGGAGGAGAAAACAGAAACTGAAAACCTTGAATATCTAAGTCATTGGTGGGCTCGAAGCATTCAAGCAAGGGATCATCAGGAAGGGATCTGCAAAATGGCTGGAAACTTCCCCTGCATAAATATCCATTGGTAATCAACACATCAAATATAATAAAAGGCTAATTGAAGGGCCAGAAATTTACCTACGGCCGAGAAAAATAACAGCATATCCAGCCTTCAGAAAGTACCTGCAAGATAACCATGGACCTATTCTTCTCAAAAGAACAGAAATGAATATTTACTAGTTTATTTCAAGAAAAACAAGGCAAGTGCATCGTACTCGGTGGATGTGGCCCCTCTATGACCTGAACTGAAGTTGTCAACATAGCGGACACACCGTTGCTCCAACGGAGCAGTGGTACCACCAGAAGTCACACAAACAATTCTCCTAGCTTCCCCATTTTCTGGGGTCCCAAGAACCACCACACGTCGTTTAAAAGGGAAGCAACACAAAAATAATTATGTAAATTTGAATGCTGTAGTAGAAGCTAACTTACCTGATGATGAAGAATTACGTAGAATGAATTGATTCAGTTTTTGAGTTATATCATGACTGTTGTAGAGAGGAGGAGCAGAGTCAAAAAAGGCTTTGACCTGTGTTTCAAGGGTTTGCTCCACATCTTCTGATCTGTTTGCGGCATCCATCAAAATCTCCCTACATTTATTCACCATTTACACCAAATCCATCAATCATTATCATAAATTATATGTGAACCCATCTATGCAGAGATGACCCCTGGACTCGTCAGTCTCACACTATACCCACAACCAGTGGTATATCCATGGTCCTGAGTCAGTGAGAGTAAATGATTTAAATTTAATTAATATTACAAAATGAAAATAGACATAAATGTTAAAATCATAAAACGAATGTCCAGACATATGTGTCAACATCGCATAACTACTTTTAAATGACTAAAGCATGCATGGTTTTTTTTCCTGTTAACTTCCTTCAAATACAAAAGTAAATAAAGGACGCATCCAATTTAGAATGTGCTCAATCATTATATATTTGATAATATAATGTGGAAAGACTAAAAGAAACACAATTAGTATGCGATTGAAAAACAAGTAAGGTCTGCTTAATACCACGGGTGCTGAACTATTGTTACAAAGAAACTTTGTTCATATTTTGTTTTTTCCCTAGTGATCGACAAAGCTCAAGTAAGAACAAACAACAACATAACCAGGTAGCAAAGATGCCATAGAGGTTTCAAACATACCCTTAGCATAGCATCATATGCAAGGTACAGCTCCAACTTTGATTATGGGAAAATCAATTGCAAAAATATCAATTGAACTACTACTGTCATTGATGAAAACAACAAGCTACTAGCATTAGAGCTGTCAATTTAGGGGGGCAATAAATTTGAGTCCCAGCCCACTTAATGAGGGGTATAAAAAAGTCTAAAGAATGATGATCCCCCAAATGTATAGGCCCCATAATTTAGAAGGGGCCACATGGCCCCAAATCAAATATTAATATTTTTTTTTCAAAAAAAAAAAACTTAATTTTGAAAAATATATTTCTCAAAATAAAAAAGAAATAAACAAATTTAAAAAAAAAAAAAAAACTATTAAAAATAACAACTTTTTTTTTCTTAAAATCATCTTAGTAAACTTTAAATTTATGCATATTAAATTTTAAAAATCTCTGAAATACATTAAACTCAAATATTACATTGTAATTTTTGGTTAGTTACCATCATTGACCATTGTAGATGGAGCCTTTTAAAAAATACGAGGGTTGTTTCATATGTATCATAATCTGTTTCAAAAAGTTAACAGAAAAATTACTTCACATTTTCTTTTAAAACCAAGCGACAAGATAGTAGTGCATAAAGATTAATAATTTATAGACCACCAGAGTAGCTGAAAAACATAAAAACCATATCAAATGAAGACCATATCAATTATACACAACACATAAAGATTAAAGACCATATCACATAATGAAAACTAGTGGTTTATCTATCATACAAAGACCATATCAAATCTTGCAGCAAAAACTTACATATAGAAAAGAAGAAGAAAAATGGTTCCTGCATAAAAACTACACATGTAAAATTGATACTCCAATAGACGTGTGGCTTCAATATTCTTAATATTTAATTTTATCACACCCACGACCAAATTCAAAACTCATTGCTTCTTCTCTGCTTGTGTGACTTTAACGCGATAGGCATGTCACAGTCATTGCAACAAGCTAAGCAGAAGATACACACATATAAAACAATAATCTTGTGAAACTCGTTGAGGCATTTTCACAAACAGCTTGTGAGTGCACGTATTAAACATTTATAATCCTAATTGTTCCAATAACATGTTGATTTTCGGACAACTAGATATTAAAGAGATGGAGAGAAAAGAGTACCTCGGTTGAAGAAAAATAGAACTGCGAAGGAGAAGAGAGGACTGCGGCGCAAAGGGATTGACGGCGGCTCCGACGGTGGTTGATGAAGGGGAAAGGATATGAAGTTTGGTGAAGGAAACTAGATGAATGGAGATTGATTGGAGAAGTAAAATAGAAATGGGAAAGGTGAATATAATGGGACCATTCCATTTTTTTGGCTAATAAATTCATCTAATTTGGTTTAGACTGTTAGCTTGCATTTAACACCTCATTAGTAGTTTACATAGAAATCCATTTTCATTTCCTTAGTCCTTTTAAGTTTTTTTTTAAGCCAAGTTTGTTACCAGATATCAACCAGACCAGGGTTTTTTTTAAATTACCATCCTTTTTATTTAAATTTTCAAAATAATTAAGATTTCGCTGACAGAAGAGTAGTCACATACAGTGAGGTATGTTCATATGTGTTATACATAAGTGTGAGTGTGCTTTTGGATTTTAAATGATGTCAAAATTAAAATAGTGTAGTTATGTATATTGTACGGTATTTTCTCATTTTAGATGAGCATTTTAGTATTAGAAAGCATTCAAATTATTTGGAAAAGGAGTTTACATTCTACATGCATTGAAAAACTTAGTTTATGTAAATATGCATTGAAAAACAAATTTTTGAATGGTCAACACACTTCAGGTCGACACATGCGTAAACAGGTTGACCTATAGAAGTTTCAACTTCAATATAGGTCAACACATGGTCATCTCAGGTCGGCTCCCACGAATCAATATTAAAGCTTCAGGTCGCCTCACTTAGGTCGACACATGGTCGGGACAAGACCTTCACAGGCCGATCTGAAACCTTCATAGGTCGGCCTGAGTACTTTCATAGGCCGACATATTGCTTTAATAGGCCGACACATACGGTGTCTCCTCTCAAAAAATTTCATTTTTGCTTCATCCAGTTGCATTCATTTTCCTCATTTTCTCTCATACCTATATATACTCATACATGCATCATATTCTAGCAAGGTATTAGTGTAAAACCTAAATGAAACCAGAACTACAACGCATTCCATCTTCAATCTCTCTTCTATGCATACACACAATCAAACTACACAAAATTATTTTTTGATTAGGTGACCATCTAGATTAAGGTTAATAATGTCCAATTAGGTTGGTGTAACCGAGAATATTGGGTTGAGATATTTATGTGTTTCAAATAAGAAAACCAAGATGGGGTTTTTATTCAATATCATTGTGATTTAAAGGTTTTGGATAAGATCATGCAAATACGGATTTGACCGGTGGGACAAGGTAGTTCCTTGCAGGGGAGTAGCACGAGACGGTGAATCGTGTTTGTGAATCTTTGGTTCAACAAGTGTGCGCTAGGGATTAATCCGACCGAGTGAGAACCTTGAAACGAGGAGGTCTTGCAAGCAAGTAGTCAAGAACTGGTGGATTGTAGCAGCATTGCTGGTGTCTTGATCAAACTTTGATCAAGGGTTTGGAGGTGGTAGAATTAACAACAAACCATAGGGTTTATGAGGTTAGAGTTATTTATCTCTTGTATAAACATTTTTGCAAAGATAAGGTTAATTGCAAGTATCTCAATTCGATTTCGAATTAAGGAAAGACGTACCTATAGCGAGGCCGATTAGGGAACTACCTAAACAATTCTTTGTGTCTCCCTCTCTATCTATCTACATCTCTTTAAATTGTTGTTCTTGCAAATTATCGAGTTCATTGTTGTTTTGATCAATTTGATTGGAAATTATTTTTCAATTATCTTTGAAAGTGTTGTTGTTGATATAATCATAATCATTTTGATTGTGATTGGTTGTTAACACCAACAAAAAAAATTGAATTTCCAAATGTTATCAATCGCATACAAAGTATTCAATAAATTGCCTTTGAGTATTTTAATTGATTTTTGTTCATTGAAAATAAGCTCTATGAGTAGCTTAGCATTTGATTGATTTGTGAATAAATCATTGTTGAACAATTTGTGCTCATTATCATCCAATTGGTTTACGTTACACATATCCGAGCTTTTCGATAGTATGTTCGGTTAGACGATTCAATTCGGGTTGTTTTCGTTGTGCCATAAAAATTTTGAAAAAAATTGATAACAGAGCCTGGTTAATTTTGTGCTTAAGATTTACTCTTTATAAGAATGACTATGAAACCTAAAAGAGCGTACAATATAGCACAAGTTTTTACCGGCAAAAAGTATGGCTATTGGAGAGCTTGTATGCGCATACATGTCAACTCTGTTGATAAAGGTATATAGGACGCCATAAAAAATGGTCTGAAAGAAATAACTGTGACCAATGAAGGTGTTACCATACCTATACCGGAAGCACAATGGGATGCTAATGATTGGAAATTGTGGTCACGTGATTGGAAGGCGAAAAATATTCTCACATCTGCTTTGGGTGTTGATGAGTATTATCGTGTTTCTCATTGTGAGACCGTCAAGGCTATGTGGGATGCATTAGAGGTTGCCCATGAAGGTACTAATGATGTCAAACAAGCTGGGATCAACATATTAAATCAAGAGTTTGAGCTACTTCGTATTAAGCATGGTGAAACTATTACGGATATGCGAAAAATGGTTCACGCATCTTATAAATCGATTAAATGCGCTAGGTAATCCTGTTTCCAATGAACTTGCAACGAATAAAGTGTTGAGATGTTTAAGTAGGGAATGGTAACCCAAGGTCACCACTATTAAAGAGGAAAACAATCTAAAGGTGTTTGATCTCACGACTTTGTTTGGAAAATTAGAAGAGTATGAACAAGAACTCACTTGAAGCTCTCCATGTAAAAAGGCATTATTAATATTGTGAGATGTTGGATCGAACTATAGTATGGTTGAATGATAGCTTCTGCTTCAACAAGAATTAAGCATGAGATTGAAGTCTGTTTGCATGCTGCTGTCGAAGATAATGTGTGTTGTAGTCGAAGTTTGTTCTAACATGCATTAGTCAATATTGCTAGGGTTGTTAGCATGTTGAATTGGGCCTTGCTTGTAAGCCCAATTGTTTAAGTTAGCTTGTACCCTAAGTTAGTATGTAATGGGTAATTATTAAAAAGCTCATTAGGTTAGTGTGTTATTTTTCATATAAATAGGATACTAGTTTCTCAATCTTGTGATAAGGAAAAATAGGAAGATAAAATCCTAACTTCAAAAGAGAGAGGTTATTTTGTTATTCTTTTATACTTGTAATCTTGTTCAAAGAGAAAGGAAAGAATAACAGTTTAATAACCAATCCTTGTTGTTCTTTGTTGTTTTACC